CAAAGTGCAAATGGGCAGAGGGCAGTCGGCAGGGTGGTCCCAGAAGGTGGAAGCAGAAGAAACAGTGGGCAGTGGTCAGTAAGGGATGTGTGTTAAAAGCTGACTCCTCAGTCTCGGGACCAGCAGTTAGCATAATGGCTATGTCGCTGGACTCCCACGTAGTCGACCGCAGTTCGCGTCCCGGATCTGTTGGCTTAAACTCGCGCCGGGCGCATGTGCATGCATGCCCAAGATCCCAGGAGGAGAATGGAGAGGGGATTGCGGCATGGCCATCCCCCTGGGGAGTGATTTCTTGCTTTCTATCTCTCTGTCTCTCTCTGTCTGGCTGGCAAGCGCACGCGCCCTATAGAAAAAAAAAAAAAAAAAAGCTGACTCCTGAGTCTCGAAGGATAGAGGGTCGGAGTAGCCCTGGGCTGTCTGTGGCTCCGAACCCACTCTGCTCCCTGCCGTAAACTGGGACGTTTGCTGCTTTCCCCCAAGCGTGATGCTGATGTCAACCTCTCCCTTACAAGGCTCTGAGGAGACACTCGGGAGTCACAGGAGCTCCCCCTGGTTCCAGCGGGTGATTTCCCAGCAGGCTCCTGGAGTGGCCTGAAAGGTATGTCACCTCCCCGTGAAGAACGTCCCTGCGCCTCACAGGGCAGAGCCCTGGGGCCCTTTCCCAGCCCGGCCTGAGATGCAGTTTCTCCCCTGGACAGCTTTCCCGACCTACATGTGGCCTTCCAGAGAGTTCCAACCACACAGCTCCAATGCAGACCTCCCCATCACCTGCAGGGCCCCCTGCACCCTTCCCAACAGTCTGAACTTCAGGCCGGGGGTGTGGGTGCAGATCTGCTCCTTGTCAGTGTGCTCAGACCCGAAGCCCGTTCCTGTAGTCTTCGGGTTCTCTTTATCTTTGGAAGCTAACTCCTCGTTACTCCAGCCGCTTGGTATCGTTCATGATTCTGTGTACCAAGCTTTCCTTGTACCACCGCATGACTTTTGTCTCTTGATTGAACCTTGGCAGAAACAAAAAACCATGAGAATAATTTCTCGGGATTTGGTCTGATCGAATGGGTAAGGAGTGGTGCCATTTACTGAAAGGGCAGAAATGAAGCGTGCCATAGCATGACATTCTTCCCCTGCTAGGACTTCTTAAGGACATTCAAACAGACCGTCTGGAATAAACTTTGCTTTGATGTGTTTAACATCCTTAATCGTTTAATATCCATACAAGGCAATATTAATTAAAAAATCAAATTTATCGTAAGTCAGTACTTCCAGAGCAATTCAGTGTGTGTTCACTCCTTGAATATTGATCAACTAATTTTGATCTCAAAGAATCATTCATTTTCTGGAGCCAGCTGTGGCATATAGTGAAGGCCCTGGATTCCACAGGACCCAACTATGAGGTTCAAGTCCCAGATGCGACAGCTTGGAAATCACACCAGGAGTACGTGCATGCTTGCCCAAAATCCTGTGAGGAGGATGGGGGAGAAGGATTGTGCTGTAGGGTGATTTCTCACTTTCTCTCTCTCTGTTTCTCTCTGGCGAGGGCAGACAACCTATGACAAAAATCTAAAGAAAACAATTTTCTGAAAACTTTGGCAAATCTTCATGAGACACTTGTCATTTGGCGTGACTTCACCGACAGCACTGAGAGATTCAGGGCTGCTTCTCCGTGATGCCAAGAGGCTAACGAACATTTTCCCCTGTATGCATTTGTATCTCTAGGACCAAGAACACAAAGCTGACCACTATTATCAAGAAAATAACCTGTGTGGTTCTGAACGCCACCACTATTGTGCAGGTTGTTTAATTTTAATCTTATAATTAGTATTTATTATATCGGTGTAAATAGTATATTTGGTTATAATACAATTAAAGTGAATCATAAAGCATATTTTACAACATATCAATGAGTATATTTCATTTTAAGAAAGACTCACTACATTGTAACTGAATTTCTTGTTTTCCTGAATAAACAAAGATTTTATTACAAAGCAATGCCTCTCACTTAATGGGCTCGAGGTTACTGTTTTCCTGATGTTGGGTGAAGGAGATCTGTACGAAGGGCAGATTCTCTCCTTCCCAAATCACCTGACTGTGCACGGCCAGCTAGTTTAGACAATGGTATTAGAAAACACCAAACCCAGACTATAACTCTGGTAGTCGCCCATAATCCCTACGACCTCTCTCCAGCCCTTGGGGAGCTGGTGTCCAGAACTGGTCATTTCCAACTCTGATATGTATGTCGAAGTCTGTAACAGCATCTGATAATAAAGATTTGCTGAAAAGAAACCAGTGACACACGGGGCTGGCAGATAGTGTAATGGTTACGTCGCTGGACTCTCACATAGTTGACTGCGGTTTGAGTCCTGGACTCTGCAGCCTGAAACTCACGCCGGGCGTGTGTGTGTGTGCATGCCCAAAATTCCAAGAGGAGAATGGAAGAGAAGGGATTGCAGCATGGCCATACCCCCTCAGGGTGATTTCTCATTTTCTGTCTCTCTGTTTTTCCAGCAAGTGCACATGCCCTGTAGCAAAAATCTCTCTTAAAACATAAAAAAAAAAAAAAAAAAGAAAGAAAGAAAGAAAGAAAAGAGAGAAAGAGGAGAGAAGAAAAAAGAAGAAAAGAAAAGAGAAAAGCAGAGACACTGTTGACAGGGAAAAGCAAAGCCTGGGTGATCTTTCACCACTGAGAAGTATATGCATGGGGGGAACCAGCAGTTAGCGTAATGGCTATGTCGCTGGACTCCCATGTAGTCGACCGCGGTTCGTGTCCCGGACCCGGTGGCTTAAAACTCACGCCGGGCGCGTGTGCGTGCGTGCCCAAGATCCCGAGAGGAGAATGGAGGAGAAGGGATTGCGGCGTGACCATCCCCCCTGGGGGGTGATTTCTCGCTTTCTGTCTCTATGTCTCTCTCTGTCTGTCTGGCGAGCACACGCGCCCTACAGTGAAAATCTCTCCAAAAAAAAAAAGAAGTATATGCATGGGGAAAAAAAGGGGTGCTGATTAACCCAAGCCACTCAAATGATGAAAAAGGACTCCTGAAAATAATTCTTCGAATGAGCCAGAAAAATTGCAGACCGTATTGATCAAATTGAAACCATTCATAAAATTCAAACTACTTGTTTTCTGTAGAATAAGAATTTCCATTTGAAGTTACAAATCAGTAAGTTATGATGAAGATTATGAGAGAGAGGTAGAAATTTTATTTTAGGAAATTTTAGAAAATAGTGTTGTCAAACTAAGCATGCAATAAATATTTAAATATGAAGCATTTTGAAGATGGCTGTGAGAAGCTCAGTGATTCTCAACCTTCTTGGACTGAAGACCTTGCTTTTTATCACAGATAGTTGGTAACACTTTTACCATTCTAAAGTGAAATTCATGGATACTTTATGAAGGGAAATTCTCAACCTTTGTACTCTAGTAATGTAAGCACACACACACACACAAACACACACAATGCACTAACTATAGTGTACGTGAAAAAGGAAAGGTTGATTAGTACAAAATAATATTTATTTTAAAACTGAAATGCTCAGGCATGATCATAAGAAGAGAAGTGAGGATCTGACGTGGCACCCAGGTCCCGTAACACCCGAGTACCACAGTGAGACATATTGTTTACAGGTGTGCTGTGTTGTATTCAACATCATAGATGATGCGGCTATTAATAAAGTGATTTTCCAAGGGGATGGACAACTCTTGATAAAATTCTGAAGAAACTCGAGTGAAATCTTTCCTTAATATTTATGGTAGTTGCCTTTCTAGAAAAATCAGAAAATTGAAACCATATAGAAAAATACTGTGATTACGAATGTGGAATAAAATCTTCCAAACTGTTCTGATTCTGACTAGTACATGTTTGACTTCACAAATGACTGGTAGATCACTCGAATACAGAACAAACCTCATTCTTTACTGCGCAGAAGGTTTGTGCAAGGCCAGGCCGGTAGTGTCGGCTCACACCACCAAATGTTAGCGATACCATCCCATGACGGCGACGTCCAAAATGGCTCTAAAGGCAACTGGTCCCACTCCCAGGTGAGACAGAGCCCTACAGAAAGTAAAGACAAACAACAAGCAGATACCAAGTGTTCTGCTGCTTCTGTAAATACTCAATAACATGATGTTTTATGTTATAGATTATTGCATCTGTGTATTTTGAGTAATATTTCCTATAAGCTCACAGACATAGGCCTCCACTAGAAGATATTGTAATACAGAGGAATCATGATTGCCTGGCCTCATCATGTCTAGAATCTGGAAGTGATGATAACATAATCTACGAGGTGAAGATGTTATGACACTAATAATAAAAAACCAGAAACCCAATATAATCCTAACAAAAAAAACCTTTTATGGGTCTTAGAAAATTGTCTTACAGATTTTATAGGTCAAAGTGAAAAAGGAAAAAAAATAAAAAATAAAATGGGAAAAGAGGAGAAATTAAAAGAGAAACATAACTTTACAAAGAAAATGAAGACAGATAAAAGAACATTTAAAAGAGGAGAAAATTGGGGAAGAAGTCATGTTCGTACTGTTACTACTTTTTCTGTCTCAGGATTAATTTCTATGATTCAGTAATTTTAGTGATAACAGAAACTCAGAGGAATTTCTTCTTTTATGATGAATTTGTGGTTCCATAGAGTGATAACGAATAAGAAAAACCTTTAAATTATGAAGATACACCTTGCTGGAGAAGTTTCCTGAACTCATTTGAATCTTCTATTCAGAACCTTGATTACTTCAAGTTTTCTAAAGCGTTAAATATGAAACTGGATTAGTTCCTTAGAAAGTTTCAACAGTACAAAACTTGGAGAGCAGTAGAAATGTGGGTGGGAGGAACCAAAAGAACCCCACAAACTTGTGGAGATTTTTTTGCCCTTGATTTTTGTTTTTAATTTGCTACAGGTCATGTGCACTGGCTGGAGAGAGGAAAAGAGCAACAGCACCCCCTATGGGGGGAATGGCTACACCACCATCCCTTCTCCACCTCTCCTTTGGGGGTTTTAGGCACACGTGCACATGTACTCAGCAAGCATGTTTTTCACGTTGCCAGATCTAGGACTTGAACCGTGCATTTAGCCATCTGAGTTCCAGCTGCCTTAACCACCATGACACTGACCAGCCCCATAAGCTTAGGTATTAACTAGCTATTAGTAGAGGTTCTTGAAATAAAGTCAGAAATAATTTGCCACATGTCACGAGTTATAAGTCAGATATTTTAAAAAGTTTCTCAAATTTTGGTAAGAAAATCCAATTATTTAATTGTTAAAGGATTATAATTTATTCATTTCCAGTACATTTATTTATTAATTCCTTAAATAATCAAAAAAAACTTCGTGCAGTCTAATTTTATAGTCTAACCTAATGGTTTGTCTATATATTTCTCAAGTTTTTTAAAAATAGTTTTCATTTATTTAACAACACATGATATAAGGGTAAAAGAAAACACTAAAGATTTCAATATAATGTTCTGTCTCCAAAGAGAATCTAAGTTAACTATGGCCCAGGATGTCTAGAGAGTCTCTCAAAAACGAAAAAAGAAAAAACCCATCACTTCTCTTGGAAACTCACTGTAATGCTTTGCAACATTTAAAGGAATATTCTGGAATATTCTTTAAGTTACAGTTTCAGTGGTATATTTTTATGCTCAGTAAAGTTTTAAGTAATTTTCGGAGGAACAGTACAATTGGGATCTAGAGAAAGTAAATCTGTATGTCCTATTTTTTTTAATTTCCGGAGGGCATGTATGCTTGCTGGAAAGAGACAGAGGACAGAGATGGGGGGAGAAAGTATCAGCCAAAGGAGTGCGGGCATGCTGCAATTCCTTCTCTTCCGTCTCTCCATCCCATTGGGTGTTCAGGCATGCATGGATAGGATTTTTATTTTTTAATGTGCATTGTTTAAGCCACTAGAGCGAGGATTCTATCTGTGGTTACGTGGCGCTGGCTCCCTTACCCAATAGGCTAAGGACCAGTCCAGCTGCCATGTCCTTAAGCCTGACCTTTCAGTAGGCACATCTAGGAGACTCTGTTATTGCCGAGAGAGGGCCACAAGCTCTATTTATCTTGATTTCTAGATAACTGATTTCCTACCAAAGTTATGATAATCTGAGAACATTTCTTACTGTTCCTCTTCGTCTTTTTTTTTTTTTTTTTTTTTTTTTTTTTTTTTTTTTTTTTTTTTTTTTTTTTTTTTTTTTTTCTTTTTTTCTTTTTTTTATCAGGGTGTGAGCTGAATGGACTCTTTAATCTTGTTTAACCAAGAGTTTGTGTTTCTGGATCTGGATCATGGCCTGAACTCACCTGCCTAACATAAGGCGGAGTGCAAGAACGAGAGGGCCGAGTCCAGTCCAAAGGCTAAGAACATGCCATGCTGCAAACCAAGGAAATCGGATTGAGCTAATGAAGTTCTAGACCCTGTTAGAGCCCATTGCCCAGATGCGCGGAGCAGACACTCTGTCCTGGAAATAATGCAGCCCTGCCACTCCCTGGTCTCTGGATGGGCGTCGTTTGAAGACCACCGGCATCCAATAGGGACTGCGGTGCGTTCTCTGGTGTCTTAGAACTCTTCGTCTGGCTTGATCAAGGCCTTAGTAAGTTTTGATCAGGTAATGAAATACTTCTCTTACCTCTGCTGTGCCCATTTCCATTCCTATTAATAAAGGAAGTAACTAAGAATGCTATGTTTGTGGCTAACGGCACAGAAGGCAATTCCACAGGTCAATTATCTTTTGTTTAAACCAATGGCTGCCCCCTAAAACAAAGAGCAGCAAATCACAACAGCTGATGGCTGTTGCACTCAAGAAGATTTCATTATAAAATGCGACGTCGTGGTTACAGCCCTCAGAGTGCGCCACCACTTGCAAGTAATAGACCCTAAAGAGCTGGTAGGGCAGGAAGCAAGTAAAGATGACTCCTATAAACAACAGGTTTTTCAGCTGAGCCCAGAACTCCTGGTGGGACGGCGAAGAGTGGCGCAGCTTCCGCACTATCGACGCAATGATGACGACCTGGAAGACCAGGAGCCCCACCCCGGTGGCTATGACGATTACGGCCACCAGATAGTTGATGACTTGCACGTACACATGACTAAGTTCTTTGTGGAATTTGAAGCAGTCTTGCTCGTTGTACGTCTCCTGAATTCCGTACTGAGAGACCACGGGCACCACGATGACAATCACCAGCAGCCACATGCCCACGCTGGCAGCCGCGGCGTGCAGCTTCCTGTAGAATTCCACCTTGTCCTTGCACTTGAAGAAGATGAGGTACCTGATGACCAGGATCACCACGTAGAACAGGAACGTCAGGTACATGTGGATGTGCAGCATGGCGCTCACAAACTTGCAGAAGGGCAACCCGAACACCCACGTCTTCGTGATGAGGTAGGTCAAGCGAAAGGGCACCGTCAGTAGGAAAACACTGTGGACCACCACCAAGTTAATGACAGCCGTGGTCGTCACAGACCGGGTGTTCATCTTCACCAGCAGGAACAAGATGGAGATGACACCCATTAGCCCCCCCGCGAGCACTGTGAAGTAGAGCCTGGTCAGATGGGGTGTCAGTATAGGATTGCAAGAGCTGTTCTTGGAGATATTGAGAGCCATGCTGTAGATGTCACCTGGAAGAGACAAAGCACCAGCGTCACTGAGGGGCTTCCAGAGCATGGGTCACACACCTGCGACATGCTGGTGAAGCGACTCTCTAACATCTGCTTAACTGACGTATGCTTCATGTGTGTTAAGGAAAATCGTGTCCTGTGCATGTTTGTATATCCTAGACCTACAACACACTAAGCCATTGATTCTTCATCTTTAATAGGAACGAATATCTAGAGACATGTACAGACAAACAATCTGCGCCAGACTGCAGGGGGTTGCGGGGACTGCAGGGGGTTGTGAGCATGGGAAAAATAGTTCATGGATGAAAAGTTGAGTGTATTCATGAAGTACACAAACTCGTTTTTCTTTTAGGCATGAGTCTCATTCTCTAATCCCTTCTAATTCATTAGGAAATGACCAAGAATATTCATATGTAATTCATTTAGTGTACTATTAATTGGATGGACATTGGCTAGGTCAAGACAACAAGGAGCAATGAGAAGGTTCATCTGAATTTTCCTTTCGGTTATATTCTCACCTGACAGTGGGCCTTGGCTGGCTAAAATCTTCCCCAGGGCTCCCCTGGAAATGCAGCCTGTCCTGTTTCTCTCATCTCTCACCCTCCAAAGCCTTGGAAATTCATAAAGGAGAGACTACAGTTTTTCCTCTGAACTCCTGAAAGACAATCTTCAAATATCTTTCAATCCCTTCTAATTCATTCTCTATATGAGATTTTAATATATATATGTATATAGATATAGTTATAGATATATATATATACACTAATAGCTTAATTTCACCAATTAAGTCATGACACACTTCCTGTATAAATTCCTCAATGACTTCCAATCTCTTTTAAGTTAAAGATTACTATCCTTATGTGTCTAAAAGGTTCTGAGTTGCAGTGGCAAAGTCTGGTCCCTGTAACCAGATTCATGAAATAACCCAGACATAAAATTGTGCAGAGAGATTAGATCCCATGACAAAACAGTATAGAAACGACCTGGTGGCTCTGAGACAGCTATGGCAGAATTCTGGTACCCAGCAACCTGAATATGAGATACTAAGATGATGTCCGGGGGGGCTGGGCAGTGCGTAGCAGTAAAAGGTAACATCTTCGAGGTCATCCCACATGTGAAGGTTGCTAATTCATGACTGGTGACCTCCCTGAGTACCCTGGACACACATGTACCCATGATCCAGGGTGGGGTTCGGGGCGGGGAAAGGGCGGAATCTCGAGTCAAACCCTGTCAGGGGTGCTGTATCTCTATCTGTTTCTGTCTCTTTGTTTCTCTCATTCATAGAATAAATAAATAAACTTAATAAAAGATGATAAACAAAACTTTAATCAGAAATTACATAAAATATAAATGATGCGGTCTAATTAAAAGACAAAGGTTATTAGACAATTAAAGAAACAGGATCCACCTGTATGGTGTTTACCTATGGCAGAATTCTGGTACCCAGCAACCTGAATATGAGATACTAAGATGATGTCCGGGGGGGCTGGGCAGTGCGTAGCAGTAAAAGGTAACATCTTCGAGGTCATCCCACATGTGAAGGTTGCTAATTCATGACTGGTGACCTCCCTGAGTACCCTGGACACACATGTACCCATGATCCAGGGTGGGGTTCGGGGCGGGGAAAGGGCGGAATCTCGAGTCAAACCCTGTCAGGGGTGCTGTATCTCTATCTGTTTCTGTCTCTTTGTTTCTCTCATTCATAGAATAAATAAATAAACTTAATAAAAGATGATAAACAAAACTTTAATCAGAAATTACATAAAATATAAATGATGCGGTCTAATTAAAAGACAAAGGTTATTAGACAATTAAAGAAACAGGATCCACCTGTATGGTGTTTACAAAAAAAAAAAACCATTTTTACATGGAAGAATTATAATAAAGGTAAATATGTTTGTTATGAAATTTCCTCTTTTTTTCCCTAATAATTATTCATCCTTAAGATCTACTTTTCCTGACACACCTGCGGACTTTTATTACTTAGTATTTGACTTTTGTATTTTTTTCTATTTTATTTGTAACCTGTATTATCTTATATTTAAAATGTCTTTTGTAAACAAAACTTACTTTTGCCTCTTCTCTCAGAACACTACAACAGAGAATTTGAATTTCACTTCCCCACTCCGGCCTTCTGTGTCATGTCCATGAGTCTTGCTGTTACACATCTTTCATACCCTACACATTGTTATTCCTGACTGCACAGGCAACGTTCAGCCCGTAGGCTCTTTTAAAAAATCAACTTAGTCTCCTTATTCATGGCTCTTTATTCCTTTCTGAATTTCCTTTTCTACCTGGGAAAATTTTCTTCAGCTAAAGAGCTCCACTGAAAATTTAATACAAACTTCTCTTAGCGTACATTTCTTAGGGACAAATTCTCAGCTTCTGTGTATGTGTCTGAAAGTATTTTCATTCTGTCTTCATAAGGATATATTTGCAAGGCATAAAAGCCTAAGCTGACAGTTCTTTGCAGTGCTTTCAAGATGGCTTTACATTGTCTTCAGATTTTTATCATTGAGACTTAAGTCATGAATATAGCGATGGCTTCTATTAAGGTTGTACGAATTTTTCTTTAGCTTATTAAAACAATTTTCTTTAAGTTTGTGCCTGAAATTTTTTTCTCTGTTTGTTCTGCTTATGAGTTCTAATTGTCTCTTAAATGTATGGGCTGATATCCTTATTCAATTTTAGGAAAATATCAGCATTATTCTTACAGATATTGTTTTGTTACCATCCCTTCAGACTTTTCTTCTGTTAGACATTTTCGTGCTTTCCCTCTTATTTCTATTCCCCCCCCCGAATTCTATATATATTTTTTTCCTTTGTCTGTTTTCATCTGAATATTTCTGATCATTCTTGCTTAGTATTTTTATCTTTGGTTGTATCCAATCTGTATTAAACCATGAATTATCGTAAACAACATATTTTCAGTTCTGAAATGTGTAATTATTTTTTCATCATTTATCATATTTCACTCCCTCCATCTTTTCCTCTAATTTCTTCAATATTTTCTTTTCTTTTTTTTCTTTCTTTTTTTTTTCTTTCTTTTTTGTTTTTTTTTTTCTGTGAGAAAGAAAGCGAGAAAGGGAAGGAGGAAGACAGAGACAGTCATTTTTGGCAGGATCCTGCCATGCACTGTTCCTCCGGTTCCAGCCTCCCAATCAGCCAGAACTACAGGCACACACAGCCAGATACAGTGGGTTCAGGTCAGCCCAGAAACGAAACCTGGGTGGGCCTTCCATATGGCCTCCAGCATCCCAAGTGGTGTTGCTATCAGTTTATTACTATGGTTAGGTGAATTTCTTAAATCTCTTAATAGTTATTTTAGGTCATTTTTCTTTTCAGAACCATGTGTAGATGTATTTCTATTATCTGCTTTTTTTTTCTTTCTCTCTCTTCTCTCTCTCTTTTGACATATTTTTGCTATAGAGCATGTGAGCTCACCAGAGATACAGAGACATACAGAAAGGAAGAAATCACCCCCCACCCCCCGGGCAGATGGCCATGCTGCAATCCCTTCTTCTCTATTCCCTTCTTAGAATCTTGGGCATGCATGCACACATGCCAGGTGTGAGTTGTAAGCCACTAGGTCCAGGATTTCAACTGTGGTTAGCCACATGGGAGTCCAGAGTCTTAACCACTATGCCACCGGCTGGCCCCTCTGCTTTTTCTCTTGGTTTTCCACTATGTGATGTTATCTTTTGACACATCTAGTAATTTAAGTTCTGTAAACTGAACTTAAATCTGGTTCTAAAAATTTAGAATGTCCTGCTGATGTTCCTTTACTCCAAAGAGCACTATACCCAGATTATTTTAAGTCAAGAATGGTTTACAGTCTTAGCAACTTGGACCCCTTTTTCTGATGGATCTGACCTCAAATCTTTGTTTTACATAACTGCCAGCATCTCTGCTATGCTTTTCAGAAGTTTTCAGGCTTAGGACTTAGTTTCCACCTCACCCTCAAGCCCCCGTATTTCACCAAAATGTCCCCACTCATCGGGAAACAGCTTATATTCTCAGTTCTGACTTGGAAAGTGCCACTATGGTAAGGGAAGCCACATATCTCAACTCACCTGCTGGGGCTGTTTGCTCCTCTGCAGTCCTGGCCGCTTCACTCACTGCTTCAAGAAGAGAATTTCTGAATGTTACTTGACTTGGCTTTTAAGCTTGCTCTTGGTGGGAGTTCTGAAAGCTGATAGCCATTCCTTCCTATGAAGATACAGAAGCAAATTTTAATGCTTTAGTAACACAGTGAATTTGTGTAATCTCAACATTAACTGAATTCAGCAAAAGAGAATTTCTTTCCTAATGTGCAAAGATTAATTCTCTAACTTCTGTAAAATTCTGTTATGAAATGAATAAGTTACAGTAATGTGCTTTGTAGATTTTTGAAGTGTATTGTCTAATCCTGGAACCCCAACCCCTGGGCCACGGACAGTGTCAGGAACCAGGCTGTGTAGCAGGAGGTGAGTGACAGGTGAGTAAGTGAAGCTTGGTCTGTATTTGCAGCTGCTCCCCACTGCTCCCCACTGCTCGCATTACCACCTGGGCTCCACCTCCCATCAGGCAGTGGTAGTGTTAGGTTCTCACACTGAAACGCGTCACTCCCATTATTCCAATTTAGCTTTGCTGACAGTTGCATTCTAGCTGCAGCATAACTAGCGCAGGGCCCCTAATGCTCATTATGGTGAGCTGTGCAGTCATTCACTATATTACAATATAATGGTAACAGAAATAAAGTACCTCATAACGTAACATGCCTGAATAATTAGAAACCATCCTCCACCCTCACCTGGTCAGTGGGAGAACTGTGTTCCATGAAACCCGTCCCTGGTGCTAAAGGGTGGGGACTGCCGATCTCATCCTCCTGGAGCATACTCCATGACAGGCCCGCCTCCCTGAGCTTTGGTCTCCTCGGCTTTGTTCAGGAGCCGCAGGGGCACATGCTCTTTTCTGCTTTATCACCAACATCTCTTCTCTCTCTTCCCCATTACGTAGGCAAGTCTACAGTCAGTTCCTTAGGGAAGCTTCCTTAGACCCCCAGATAAGATCAGGTCTGCCTGACCCTCTCTTTCAGAATTTTCTCCATGGGTGTAGTGAAGTAATTACTCGAGTGAGTGGATGCTGGTTGCTGGTGTCTCCCATTCCCCACCAACAGATTATAAGCTCCATGAGAACAAGCATTGTGTTTTAATTAGTTTTTTTAATTTAACTTTATTTATTTTAATTTGACCAAAGAGGGACAGAGTGAGAGTCTGAGGGAGTGGGAAAGTGAGAGAGCAAGCCTTCAGGTTTGGGACTCGAACTGCAGTCGGCCTTATGGGAGTCCAGTGCCCTTAACCACCATGCCACCTGCTGGCCCCATGCTTTAATTCTTTCCTACTTATTTCTGTAGCAGTAGTCAACACAAGGAAGATGGTCTTTAAATATTAAGTGGAAGAAAATATATGCAGAACATGTAGCTAGGATCTCAATATATATTTTAGGTCTTGCGTCTGCTGCTGTTAGTTACTGTCTACAAATTACTTAATCTCTCTGAGGCTTATTTTCTGTACCTAAAATATAGATAATCCCAAACTATGTAAAATATTCTCTCTGAAACAAATGATATAACTTATGCACAAAGTTAAGAAGGTATAATAATAATGAATATTGGTACTTTATGAGATACAGAAGTATGAAGTGGAAACATCTTTAGGAAAGCCTTAAGCAGACTCTTTTGGCTACAAAAAGCCTATAACCGTCTTTTGCTTCTTTCAGAGAAATAGAGAATAGATTTGGAGCAAGTTGGCGGTATGGTAGTTAAGGTGACTGGATCCTTCATAGCCAACTGCATGGTTTGAGAACAGGATCTACTGGCTTAAAAAATGCACCAGGCATGTGTGCATGCCCTAATTCCTGAAAGGAGAAATGGAGAAAAGATTGCAGTGTGGCCAGCCCCTGTACGGAGTGCTTTCTCAGTTTCTCTCCCTCTAGTGAACACATGCACCCTCTCACAAATAAAAATAAATACATAAATAGAATTAAAAATAAAAAAGAAGAAAAGAATTAAAAGGAGGGACCCGCAATTAGCATAATGGCTGTGTCGCTGGACTCCCACGTAGTCGACTGTGGTTCGCGTCCCGGACCCGGTGGCTTAAAACTCACGCCGGGCGTGTGTGTGTGCGTGCCCAAGATCCCGAGAGGAGAATGGAGGAGAAGGGATTGCGGCGTGGCCATCCCCCCTGGGGGGTGATTTCTTGCTTTCTGTTTTTCTGTCTCTCTCTGTCTGTCTGGCAAGCGCACGCGCCCTATAGTGAAAACTTCTCCAAAAAAAATAATGATAAAAAGGAAATTGATTTGACAGCAGCTGAAGCAGTGGTGGTCAGCGATGCTCATCAGATCATTTCCTTCATGTAACTTTCCTTACCAACAGCCCTGGTCCATGTGCTGGGATGAGAGCCATGTGTTATGGTGACACTGGTTATTCCCAGGAGTTGGGCTTCTTTCTGTCCCAAAACCTAGGACCTAGGCTATTTTCAGTTGTATTTCTTGCCAGATTGCATGAGAATAAAATTAGCAATAGACACAGCAAACCATTCAGCCAGCCAAACACATGACCCTCCATCTTCCCAGCCCTGTCCAGGCCCATCCACACCCTCCGGAACTGTCACTTCACAACTGGTTTGATCCTCTGCCTGACCGGGCACGTCCTGGCCCACTCCCCACCTGACTCAGACTCAGCTCTCCTGGCCTCATGACCAAGCGAAACCTACCTGCCAATACATTCCCTCAGTCTGGTTTAGAAGCCTGATCTCCCCTTAAGTGACACCCTCTTCAAGTCTCATCTTCCCCATTTCCTGCTTCTTTCCTGTGACCACAGCGCCACCTCATTTTTGGGACCAACTATCTCTTAATCAGGAAGGGCTTACACACATCCCGGGAGATTCTGGATGAACCCGTTGTGTGCCAGTCCTAGCTCAGTGACCGTCCCAGTCCTTAGAGAGTTTTCCTCTGTTCCTTTGTCCCAGCTCCACTTCTGGGCCCTGTGGCTATGCTGTTTACATGTCGTGGGCAACCATAGTCTTCACAGCCTGCAGCTGTCCTTGTGCTATAATCCCAAACTTCCGGCTTCCTTATCTCGCCTGTCTGTGGACACCTGGGCTGAGGCTGGGTGCCCGGAGGTTTTCCAGATGCTGCCGTGCATGTCTGCCTGGACCAGCAGGTGGCCAGCTTCCTTTGTTTCTGTGCTCTGTCCACACCTAATCAAGACAAGGTATAAAGATCCAGATGGCTAGTCTCAGTTGCAGCTTCTCCATCTGCCCAACCACAGCTAACAAAATTAATCAGCCAGAATATGCACACGCCCTCTGTCGGCCCGGGGAGGGAGCACACTCCCTTCACATCCAAGGATCCCGGGGCTGCCTGGGGCCTAGGAACACCCTGAGGAGAAGGTGAGGTTAAAAAGTGCTTTCTTCCTAGAGTATGTACCTTTTTATAATGAAAAAAAAACCCAAAAAACAAAAACAAAACCTCTCTTCTTAGGGGCCAGCAGTTGGCTGGATGGGATGGAGAACAAAGTGGCCTTCTCCCCTGGGGGGTGATTTCTCACTTTCCCTTTCTCTTTCTTCTTAGAGACTCCCCTGGGGTTGGCAAACAAACAAACAAACAAACAAACAAAAAACACAACAACTGAAAACAAAACACAGCAAAAACTCCCTTCTCTTAGCCCCTCCTACAAGGCATCTGCTCTTCATTGCTCTCTTGAAGGCTACTCCAGCCCATGTCAGGAGCACCTGTGGGCAGGATGGCTCCCCAGCTTCTGAAAGCCAGGAAAGAACTAGAATGAGGCCAAAGGAAGAAGACAACGAAACAATCAATGCTCTTGAGAGTCACAGGTAGTAAGGGAAGCCAGGTAAGGACTGAGGCCACATTTCTTCCTGGGGGAGGGGGATAGTATATACATCCTGCAGTCGTGTATAAATACTAAAGAAGTATTCCTCTATGTATGGAAAGAGACTCCAGGGATCAAGAGTCATTTTGAATGAGCTGTCTTGAAAATTTTCTCTCCTCTCCTTGCCTTCTTAGGGAGATGACTCCATCTCCCATGGGCACAACTGGCTTGCAGCCCTAACTGAGCATGCCAGCGTCACAGTGGCAGGCTGGATAGTCCCATCCCCACCTGTGCAGGTGCAACAGCATGGCCCATGTTCACATCAGCCTGTTCCCTGATCCATGAGACAAAAGGGCCACGTGGGACCAATAACATTTTATCAATATTGCATTGAAGAGTCATTTCCTCCAAAATGAAATTAAACACTGCAATTTGTGGAAAATTATAATTTGAACTTTTAAGCCTTGTCATATTTATCTTGCTGGTCAAGTGATTTATTTTAGTGGCAATTAATACTAATATCAACCAAAGTAAACATATTTGTCTGAACCGACACTGTTGAATATTTCCTAATCTATATTATTTCTTCATGTTTCTGTTACAGGTGGATGCCTGCAAAGAATGGAGGAAATTTCAAGCTTTTGCACAATAGAACAGTTTAAAGTTTAGAAACCGTAAAAGGCAATGTCTTCTTGCAGAAAATTTGAGCACACACGAAAATAATAAATGCTATTCAGGAATGCTCCCAGTGCCTCTCTTGGGAATAATAGCGTTCTAATGAGAGCAGTCCCCGAGACGGTGGGGAGGCCTGGAGGTCAGTGAAGCAGGAGCTTAGTCTGTGACCTACAGGCCTGAGAACCTGATGCTAGGGCTAGGACCTGGAGCCGGAACGACTGAGCCAGCACCGCCGATCACGCTGCACACGGGCAGCACACTGACACGTTGGCTGGGTTAGATGCAAAACTTGCCTCATGTGGTTAAACGCCTGCTCATAAGAAATGCATGGTTTCTTATTAGAGGAGAATCGCTTTTTCTTCTCCTAGATGACAAGTTTAGATACAGGACTGGATTTCTCAATATTCAGGCTCCGATTTTGAAATCTGCCCTGGGCTTCTAGACACAGGTACTTTGAAGTGGAGAAAACTTGAAGCCTAGGAGGCACCAGGGAGAGAATGTTTGAAACACGCTCATTATTATTTAAAGACTTTACCTCACACTCAACTTTTATACAATAGTGATAATAATAACGATAATGTGCACAGGGTGGTGGCTAGTAGATCTGCAGTGATTCAATGAATCCATGGAAGAAAAAGACATCAAGAAATGGGAGAGAAAGGGAGGGGAGAAAAAGCAAAAAGAGAAAACACAAGAAAACAAAACAAAACAAAAAACCCAAAAGACTAAAAAAAAACGAAAAGGAAAAGTAAGAGGGAAAGAAGAGCCAGCTGAGAGGGTCCCAGTCAGTGACGCTGTTGTCATTCTTGGGTCTTGAGCTGACTGTATTTTCCTGGCTTTCGGTGTCTGTGCCTGAAATTGATGCAAATGTCTTTATGATTTAACTAGCTCATTGTTTACCACAATATGAACCATTTGCCAAAGAGCATGTCTGGTCCTTGTAAGATCTTTAAGGTGAGGGATGTGCCTGCTTCTAGGGATGAAATCCATTACTAATACAAGGAGCCAGGGAAGTTTTCCTTTTTTTAAATTTTTGCTATAGGGCACGTGCACTTGCCACACACACGCGCACACACACACATACACACACATGGAGAGAGAATGTGAGAGCTCATCAAAGGGGAATGGCCATGCAGCAATCCTTTCTCTTCCATTCTCCTTTTAGGATGTGGGGCATGCAAGCACATGTGCCTGGCATGTCTTTAAAGGTGCCGGGTCCAGGACTCAAACTGCATTGTCAGCCATGTAGGATACAGCTGCCTTAACCTCCATGCCATCTGTTGGCCAACCAGGGAACTTCTTAAAACCACCAGCAACAACGTTTATTTGTTGCTGCTATTTAGGCATCTTGCCCATGTATCTTCCTGGTGTTTTTTTCTTCCTCAAACATTCTAGTCAATCCAAATTTTCTTACATGTCCTTGAGGTGCAGACCAGATCCCGTGGCCTTCAGGAGCCCTTACTGTCTTCCACGTCCTCAGGCACTTTCTTGGCACCTCATCAACGCCTCACATCTCTCCCTTCACATTTCATTCCTTCCTCTGTTTTAATTCTTTTTTTAGTCATCTCGATGCTTGTTTTCAACTTTGAATTTCATTCAACACTAGCATGACTCATTATTATTTTTAAAATAGTGCGCATGAATGGTTAACCAAATGGTAAAATAATGGTGGAAAACTGTCTAAACATATGTGATTGAATGTATAAAGTAAATTAAAATTAAATTAAAGAAAAGAAAAACTGCCTTGACTTTATTAAACATTTCTTGGACAGGACCACAGTGAGATCTAGACTAAGCTGATGTGGGCACCCCAGGAATAAACTGTGGACCCAGAGCAAACTTTCCCAGGAAGGAGGGCAGGTCTTCTAACTACTCATCGGCCCACTCGTGCTGGGTGGGAAGGCTGTCTTTGTCTATGACTGAGCTCAGATGGCTGACATAAAGCCTCGCCTCAGACTCTACATTCCCCTGCCCTCTCTAATTCCCCGAAAATCTTTCTGTGGTTCCTTTCAGTGAGAATGAGTCTGAGAATCTCCCATGTCACATAAGCTCTTTTGCATCTCTCCCCAACTTATATTTCAAGACATGACTTCAAATCTGACTTCTCTCACGGCTCTTTCTTTACCCTCATCTGATGCCCCATATTTCTTTGCCATTCTTAGAAGGTTCTCTTTCATATTTTCAGGTTGTTTTTAGCTCTACGTAGTCTCCAACTGTATAGTTAGACACCTAGACTGAAGTCCAAACTGTATCATAAATTATGCTGTTTCTCTTTTTTAAAACATTCCCTGACCCAGGGTCACCCAGTGGCGTGGTGGTTAAAATGGCTGGATCACACATGGACCACTGATCAGTCTGAGTCTCAGATATGGCATCCTGAAAAGCATGCCATGGTATGTGCATGATGCCCAAAGTCCTGAGAGGAGAATGGAGAAGAATCCCTGGAGAGTGATTTCTCTTTTTTTTTCTTTTCTTTCCTTTTTTAAAATTAATTATTTATTTTGCATTCATTCACTGAACATTATCATAGCATACAAGATACAGTTTTCCATCCAGAATACACTGTATAGTGGCTAAATCATAATGTTATCATCGCAAATCATTTTTCATCTCACTTCATATATATATATATGTACATGTTATATATATATATATATAAAATTTTCCCATTTCTCCCCTCTGCCATATCCCACCCTCCTTCCACTTCATCTCTGGTGTCTGCAGTTGCTTTCCATACCTTTTTTTTCTCCCACATTATATTGGTTAACAATATAAAATAATTGATCTAACTAATTTCAATAGCAAGCTCAGCTGATGTATAAATATCTGTGAACAAATGCTTGACGTTAGGCATGCAACTGTGAGTAGAATGAATTTACTATAAAATAGCCCCTAGCCGAGGCTATATAGCTTACTGTGATCATTAAACAGGCATTTTTAATATGTTTTTTAATTTCAAGAAAGGCAGTTTTATCTTTAATAAATCAAAATCAAAAAACGTTAAGAGAACTTGATTGAGACTTAAAGCCAGGAAGCAGGTTAGTAGGATTCTGTTCAAATAGTAGTTACCTGGATCTGTTGACAATTCAAGAGAAAAAAAAAAAAGAATAAGAAAACAGAGAGAGGAAGAGAGAGAAAGAGAAAAACTGAAAAAAAATTATTTTTAAAAAAAGCAAAAAAATATAAACTGCGTGGCGTGTGAGCACACGGCACAAAATGACTAGTTCTCGGCAGCAGGGAGAAGTCTTCTTGTGAAGGTCTGCCCCTTGCCTCTCCTAGAGGAGAGGGGGACATGAAATTATTAGCAAGATAAAGGAGGATCTGAAAGCCAAGAGAATACTTTACCTTAAAAAAATTTTTTTTTTCCTTTGGAGAGGTTTTCACTATAGGGCCCGCGCGCTCGCCAGACTGACAGAGACATAGAGACAGAAAGCGAGAAATCACCCCCCAGGGGGGATGGTCACACCACAATCCCTTCTCCTCCATTCTCCTCTCGGGATCTTGGGCACACATGCACATGCGCCCAGCGTGAGTTTTAAGCCACCGGCTCTGGGACGCAAACTGCGGTCGACTACGTGGGAGGCCAGCGACATAGCCATTACGCTAACTGCTGGTTCCTGACCTTAAAAAATTTTTTATAAAGAAAAATAACAACAACAACAAAAAAAACGAAAAGGCAGAGACAGAGACAGAGAGAAGAATAGAGGAGTGCCTTACCATTCAAGATTAGGGTCTGAAGGCTGAATTATCAGTAGAAAATCTTCATTTCTTTTATTCCCTGAAATGACTAGTTCTCAGCAGCAATGGAGGAGTTTTCTTCTGAAGGCCTGCCCGTTGACTCTCCACTCAAGACTGGCAGGCTGGAGGCTGAACTATCAGCAGAAAATCTTCATTTCTCTTATTCCCTGAAATAACTACCTCTTAGCAACGGAGGAGTCTTTTTCTCAAGAGTGATTTCTTACTTTCTCTCTCTCCAGTGAACACATGTGCTCTATAGCAAAAACTTAAAAAAGAAAAAAAAGAAGAAAAAAGTTCTACAGCCTCCCATCATCGACTGGAAATGTACAAGCTTCTAAGCGTAACTACTAGACAGCTAGAGTTCAAGCAGCTCTAGGGTGAGAAACTCTGTTTCATTCACATTTTTATCCCCAGCACCTGGAATAGTTAGATTCTCAATAACGAGTTATTCAGTGAATGAAACTAGACATGCTCAAAGTTCCCAGAGAGAAAAATAAATAAGATCATCTATAAAAGACTTAGAAACAAGTTGACATCAGACTTTTAACATATTGACATGCTAAAAAACATCTGAAGAGTTTGGAAGATTACATTGGATTTGGAATTCTGTTCTCAGGGCCCAGTGGTAATGTAACCGGACCTTCATAGGAAGTCCCCAGGTTCACATCCTGAGGCCTCCCTGAGCATAGAGTACACACGGGCCTGGCATCAGGGCCGGCTAATCCTGCGGATGGAATCTGGCATGAAGACCTTGTCTGGGATGCATGTCTGACTGTCTCTATCTCTGAAAAAATTAAGTAATAATAATAATTATAATGATAATATAATAATTCTGCTTTTAATCAAACTAGCATTCAAGAGAGAGGAGGAAAGGCATTTCCAAATAAGTGAGCATTCAAAAAGTTTACCTCCTTTAGATGGTCCCTGAACTATTAATGTATATTCCCAAGGAAATGAAAAAGGAATTTGAAAAGGGAATATTCAGAATGCTAAATGTAGTTGTGAGCCAATATATACATAAAACACAATGAAATCTAGAATGTTAATGACAACACAAAACTAAAGCCCCCATTGATTTCAACCTGGTGGGAGGAAAAAAATCCAAGGAAGAAGTTGTATGCTAAGACTTTAGTCTTCTTGGGGAAGAGGCTGAAGGTACTATTTAACTGTGGAGAAACCAAACATTATGAATGAGAACTCCTGGCAAAATTTCAATGGCAATGACTTGGTGAACGAAAATTGGAAATGTTACTTACAAGTTATGGAAAAACAAAACACAGCAAACCCAATCAAGCCAAGTACAGGCAAGAAGGAAAAAGCACACGAGCAAACCCAATGAATAGATATATTTAAAAAGAAACAATGAAAATGGAGACATACTTCACATTATCCTCAATGAAAATGGCTAATAGTCTCCTCCTTCTACTAACAGCAAAAGTGAACGATTGTGCCTGCAACTCTGTGAATATACTAAAAGTCAATGACTGTGCACTTTCTTTTTATTCAACTTTTTGACATGATACTTGGACAAATGTCTGGGGTAAATGTGATCTTCAGCATAGGAATACAATGACTGTGGATCAAATTGGGGCAATTAGAAGACCCGTCATGTCAGACCTTGTCTTTCTTCAGTTAGGAACACTCACAGTCACTTTAGAGTGGCCCTAAGGTTTATGGTGAGTTGTTATTAGCTATATTCACCCTACCGCACTTAACTAAAAATTGTCCCTTTTATCTATTAGTAATTTAGTTTGAATGGTACACTTTAAAACGACAGAATAAAATCACAGAATTTCATGGTGGGTAAAGCATATCTTAAGGCCATAATTTATAAAGAAAGACATTGAGTCTGAACTGACCTTGGAGAAGAGGAAGCAGAGGAAGAAATACACAGAAGGAAGACAGCCAGCCCTGCTAGTGAGGGCCTCTGGGCAGAGCGCCCAGTGCTGGTGCTGGGCTCGCAGCTCCCCTGGGGAGACCGCAGTGGATGTGCTGACCGGGCCTGCCCACGGGAACAGGCGGGGTTGCTGTGGTCTGGGTGTTTTTTCCGCTTCGCTTCCCACTCCATCCCTGGCTTCACTTCCTCCTGCCGCCCCTGAACAGAGACCAAGCTTCGGCTTTCTAACTACTCAACACGGGGGACTAGCCCCACCCCAGCCATTTCCTTCACAGCACTGGCCACTCTCACCTCACCTCTTCTTTGTCACTCTCCACACCCACCTCTGTCCCTGAGAAATAAAGACCCACAAGAACTGCCACCATGTGTATTTTTCAGACAGGAGGAATTCCCAAGCCAGAGATCATGGAAATCCTACTGGTAAAGCAAAACCTAGAGAGCGTGGGGTCCAAGTCGACTGTGCAGCTCAGGGCTCGGACACCCAGCTCAGGGCTCTGACAGTCAGCTCAGGGCTCTGACGACCAGCTCAGGGCTCTGACGGCCAGCTCAGGGCTCCGACCCCCCG